ATTATAATCAATACACTAAAATCGAGAAGGTCAGGTACCCTAAACCCGGTCGATCCAACCCTACGATTAAGCTTCATTACATCGATTTGACTCAATTGCATGACTATAACGGCTCGATCGGTAAACTAACCGTTCATTTAAAGCCACCCAAAGATATCACAGATTATGGGTTTGTATTGAATATACAATTGAATATTGACTAAAACAAAATGAAATATATTTTTAAAAAGTATGAATTATTTATTTATAGAGATCATTATCTGACAACATTAAAATGGATAGATGACAATGTTGTGGCTGCGAATTGGATGAACCGAGCTCAAAACTTCTCGGTCATGACCTGCTATAGTAGTCGAGCCAATTTGGAGCCAATCTCTGTATAATCAATCGTTATTTGTGTCAAAATCAATGCATGATTATTAAACTTGGTTTTAATTTGTCAAGAATTTCAAATTACAATCGAGTAATGGATGGATAGACTTGTTTAAGCCGCCTGTCGTCACACCAGACCGCGAGTCCTATATATTAAGAGTACCCAAAATGAGTGACAACAAGAAGGATGTGTTTCCACACATCGCCAAAGTGTCCGTTTCGGTGAGACATTCAATACTATTATTGCAATGCATTACACAATGCAAGCGATGAATAACTGAATAAAACATTGTGTCAATCAAATAGTCGGCCGAATCATCATTTTTAACGTCCGGTATATTTGAAGTAAAAGAAATCCTAAGCATAAATCCAGAAACTGATAAAATGTAAGAAATAAAACTCTGTTTGACAATTGTGTTTAACAATAGCCATATATTATGGGCCATAAATTGACAGATATTTTATGGCAACGCTTGCGTCAAATCCGGGAGAAAAGCATTTAATGAGCGCTCCGTTAAATGAGTCGTCGGCAAAGACAACACCCGTCTGTCACACGTGTCTTATGAACACATATACCACCGACAAGAATAAGACATGTCTGGTGTCTGACGTCGAGTTCAGTGAAGGCGCCAAACATTACATCTTAAACTGTTTGGGACCTCATATTCCGCGATCGGAGATCAGGAGTACTGCCGACGACCGCCTCCTCTATACACTCAAAGAGAACAAACAATTGAAGAATAAAACTAAAGGCCTTTCGCTTCCCAAAAGGATTTTAATGAAGGTTCCGGTGGGAGGCTATGGTATGTATTTGTTTGCTTATGGGCAAAATGTTTAATTAGTTAGACAGTACTTTATAATGAATATATTATGCGAATAGAGATCGATGTAATGCTTTATGTGCCGCACGATTTCGATAGCAAATCAAAGCAAAAATATCCACTAGTTTTCAACGTTTATGGCGGACCCGGCAGTGACAGCGGATCCGTTTCGCAAAACTACTTTTACAATCAATTCGGCGCTTATTTGGTCTCAAATAAAAGTGTGATTTACGCCTATTTGGACACCAGAGGCAGCGCAAGTCACGGCTCAAAGTTTATGTTTGAAATTTATCGCCGATTGGGAACCGTTGAGGTCGACGACACTATAGAAGTGGCCCGGTTTGTATGGCTCCGGCATTATCTCAGACATTATTTGAACACTTTTATTCATTTTGTATTAGTTATTTTCGTGATAAAGTGCCCTATATCGATTCTAAGTCCATAGCCATATGGGGCTGGTCTTATGGAGGATATGTGGCCACAAAGGCATTAGAAAACGATTACAACGACACTGTATTC